GAAGGAGGCTGTAAAACTACCATTGTCTCACACTTTTTCTCCTTTTTCTTCCCCCATTCTGTGCCTGCACAGAAAACCAAGATTTGGGTCTGACAGAGACACCTGGTAACTGCATCACAGCAGCCAACCCTGCTAACACTCAGGTTGTGAAAAAAGCTGCTTTGGAAGCTTTCTAAGGAAGAAGAAGTGCAGAGTGAGATTGCCCAAAAGGCAAAAGTTGAGTGACTTTTCTGGCTTTACTCATCTCTCTACAAGCAACAGCAGTCAAGGAGTGTAATGTGAGTGAATAGGTCAGTGCACCCCTGGATATTTCAGATTCACATAAAGTTGCTTTTTCAGAGTAATTTCAACTCCCTTTCCTTGATGTTTGCCGTTCTAGGAAGAAGATAGGTAGCCCTCATTCATCTGAAGGGCATGGGAATGTCCACAACTGCTGAAAACTGTCTCAGTGGTAGAAGAGAAAATGTATTTTCAACAATATTTATTTTCACAGCAACTGTGACTAAAGCCATGCCTGTCAAAAATGAGTGGGCAGGTATCTGGTGGTCACACAGACTGGTTGGGCAGTTTGGCTTTTGAAACCCACCTGTTCCAACTGAGAAAATCCCCAGCTGCACAATTTTTATAAAAAAGGTGCAGTACGGCAGGTAAGACTGTAATGGCTGGTAGGTATGTGTAAATACTCAATAAACTACCAACTACATACCTGTTATTATTGATATTGAAATCTACATTGAAATTTTGTGCTATTTAAGGCATAGAATTGGAGTAGCTATTACTTTCTGCTCCACCAAAAGAGTGAGGCAGACCTAGTAAAAAACCAAAAAAAATGCCATATCACCGTTTGGGACCTTCCCTATCCTCATGTTTTCAATAATTCACATTATTCTTATTCACACTGTAGGGGGTTGCTGCATGCAGGGTGTTGGGCCACACTCTCAGAGCAATGTGAGCAGGGTCTGCAGATGAGGACACACAGAAATAGAGGGGAGAACTCCTCTGAGGGCAGCTGGGAAGAGATGGGGTCCCCAGCCAGGCATCCTCTGGGCTGTCTCTCCTGTGCAGCAATGGTGAGGATGAAGAGAAAGATGATGATTTTTCTTGCTTTCCCACTATTTATTATATGCATTTTTCCCAATGGGATCAGCTCAAACTCCCTCTTGGATGCTCCTCTTTGTGGCATGTTTTCAGCTAATTAGAGAAAAGGTTGCACATTGGCTGTTAACCTCCTGTGCACATGTGTTATTGGCTAATATTTCAGGGTTTAAAACACTAATAGTTGAGAGTATACTCGACTATACAAACACTGTATACAAACACTGCTGTTGTCTCTGACACAAACCAGCACCTACAAAGTGAGGTATGAAAATGTTGGGGGAAAGGGCTGATTTTCACACCAGTGGTAATGGCTTCCCACGAGAACCTGCCATACAAAATTATTGGGGTTTGCAGGTGCACGGCCACGGGAACAATGAAACAAAGCTGTGAGAACAAGGCTGCCTCGGCAGCTGCTGTGAAAGTGTCCAGAGCTGCAGAGAGCTGCAGAGAGCAGCCCCTGAGCACTGCTCAGGCTGAGGCTCTGGGGCACCTGAGCCTCAGCACTGCCAGGCCAAATTCAGCTTCAGCACAAGCTAATGGGATGTTTTAGTGCTCAGTGTCTCATCTCGGCTTCAGATGTGAACCCAAGCCTTGCAATAAAGTAGAACATAACCTTTGCATCACAGCATACATCTCAGCCAACCTACACTTTGGGTTTCATTCTAGAATGGTGTTTTTTTTCAAGGAGTGTAATCCTCCCTAAATAAACAAACACAAACTCACATCTCTCCTCTCCCTGTAGCCCAGAGATCACAACGTGAGTCATGCTGAAGTACAGGAAATAAGCCAAATCAAGCTGGTAAAACGACCCAGATTGGAGATATGAAGGCCTCTAAATTAAGAGTGCCCTGCTGAAGACCCCCAGGCTATTAAAACTCATGACTGTTTGCTCCAGCACCACAGTTGCTATGGCAATTCATATAGATAAACCCAGTAACCTGTCAGGATCTAACCAGGTAAAAAACTAGGACTTAAATTATATTCAGAAATAAACAGGAAGCTGATATAGATGCCAAAGAATCGATATACTGTATTCTCTGTGTCTAATTCCATTTCACAGGCAGGCAGCTGCATTCTGTACAAGCTCCACATTCCCAATGCTTTTGAACACTTCCACCACACGGAGCACATTGCAGCAACTTTGAGTTGTGGGGGAAAAAAAATAAATCAAAAAACTCTTGTAAAGAAACTGGGAACAGACAAAAAGTGCTTAAATAGACCCAGACAATGCCTACTTGTAGGCTCCTCTAAAAATAAGGCAGATGGTGTCTTATGAGAAGAGAGATGAGATATTTCTCAGATTCTTTGACATGATGCTGAGACAAAACTCAGGTGCCTTGCAAATGACAAATCTCTAACAGCAGGGAGACAAGCATGTGGCTAGGATGGGATCTGCTGCATTTTAGAGATGTCAGGCTGGACCTTGTTTCCATTTAATTAGTGAATCCATCTTGTTCATGTTCCTAGTACTACAGCACCTTAAATTGCATTATAACATGCTTCTCAGTAGAAATGGCATTGGAAAGAAACCAAAACAACAAAAACACAAGAGAATTGTCAGGAGCTGCTTTAACACAATTTCATAATCTTAGTTTTGTCATCTCCAGTAATGAATTCAGTGACATCAATTGTTGAGGGATTTACCAAATAGAGACCACAGCTTTATCACACTGAAACTTTCTTATGCCACTCCCAAACACTTTTATAAAGTGCAAAATATCACCTCAAACAACATATAGAACAGATATCTAAATGTGCATTTCCAAGAAGGATTTCCAGCATTCTTCCTCACCTGGAGGAGCAAATGACTGAAAATGGGTCACAGACAGTCAGTCCCTTCCCTCCCTCACCAGGCAGTCAGCAAAGCTTCAAGATGGGCCAAAACAGAAACACTGTGACCCTCACAAGGCTGTGGCATCAGAGATCTTCCTTTATGGGGCACTGCCAAGGTAGGGACAGTCAGTTTTTCAGATGTGAACAGGAAAGTCTGTCAGCTCTCACCAACAGTCAGAACAGGAATCGCAGAATCACTCAGGTCGGAAAAGATCTTTAAAGACCATTGAATCCAACCATAGATTCATCACTGCCAAGTCCACCACCAAACCATGTCCCCAAGTGCCACATCTCCACGTCTTTTCAATACCTCCAGGGGCTGTACCAAGGATTTGAGCAAAGCAACATTAGTGTTAACATTGCCTGCCACCACTGCAGGGAAGAAGGGGCTGTGTCTCCTCTCAGGCACAGCTCCTCCCTGCAAAAGAATGCACTGGCACAGCTCTGCACTGTAACATTTCATTCCTTGCCCTGCCTGCACATCTCCCTTCTCAGGGAGCTGAGGACACACCAAGTAAATCAAAGTGATAAGAATTTATGAAACCCAAAGCAGTGCTGGATTTTGGAATGACAACATGATTGTATATGGGTACTAATAAAAGGCAAAGGTTCCCTGAAGCCGCAGGCTATGAAGTGGAGTAGAGCAATGTGATTAAGAGAGAGTTAAGAGGTATTAAACTTTGAAGGGAAAGGCATTCCGTAGTGACATGTTAATAGATCCCAGGAAAGATTTGTTAATGGACTAAAAATTGAGAGGCTCTTGTAGGCAGCACTAAGTGAAAAAGTAAATCACTGTTTCTCCATGGGGGAGGTTCACTTAGAACCTGCAGAAGGCAGGAGCACACCCAGGGTACCACCAGGGCTGCCTGGGTGGGGCTTGGAGCCTGGGACACAGGAGGACACAGGGACAGGAGGACACAGGGACACAGGAGGACACAGGGACACAGGAGGACACAGGGACACTGGGCTGCTTCCAGTGGTGCTGTACCACAACTCTGCACAGCCACACCTGGTTTATATCTTCCTTCCCATCACACTGAGCACACGAGTGAATAAAACCTTATGATTTGGGTCTACAAAGGTGGTTAGGGATGCAGTGATTTCCTGAAAACTTCTTCCAGGCTGTGAAACACAGAGCGTGACACAAGATATAGCTAAATAACAGCTAATTTTCAATTAAAACACATTGCAGTTGGACATAGCTGAAAATGAAATACGATCTCATCAAAGTCTGAACCTTGTAAGGACACTGAGTCCAGTAAAAAAAACTTCATCTGGCTGGTATGAGATACTAAAATTTACTGATAGCAACCCAAAAGCAATTGTAATCAGGGCGGAAAAAAGGGCAGTAAAATTTGTAAAAGAGCAGTAAAAGTTTGTCTTGGCCTGATTCTGTGATCTCCTTTCCATGCTGACATATTGGAAGCAACAAAAGTGACAATATTTCAGAGCACACTCCTCTCTGAAAGGCAGAGAGCTCCAGAACAAGTAACACTGTCTCTTCTTGATAATGAAAGGCTGATTTATTCTTGCTGCATTATAATAGAAGCCATCATATATTTTCTGACATATTGAAATTACTGGGGGACCATTACCCTTTACCAGTGGGGCAATTTAATTTCTCCATATCTTTGTTCAGATGCACCTAAGATTCTTGGACTTTATAACACAGACTCTAACATGCATTTCATAGGCAATGTGAAAGTGGCATCAGGAATTTTGGAGAGGACTGGGTGTAATTGCACAGCTGTAATTGCACCATCAAACACAGCCCTTTTCTCCAAAAGAGGCAATCCTGCATGCTTGATGACAGGGAGTGATGTACATGGTGACAAGAACTAATAAAACATTTGCCTAAATTCTATTTTGGGGTTTGTTTTTCAGACTTGAGGCCCATCAGGAGGCTAAAGATGAGCATCAAACAAGCATCAGCTAATGCTTTAGTCAATCCTTGTGTGTTCCAGTCCTGGGTGAGTCCCAGTGCTGGGGTCCTTTCAGCCAGGTGTTTCTCTTTTGGAATCCCAAATGCAGGCTGAGCCCTGGTGATGCAGGTAACAGCAGCGAGCAGTTTTGCATTAGTTAATGAACTACATATAGTTGTCAAAGGGTATCATGTGTTTGCAGCTGGGGCTGCACTCCCACAAGTCTCTGCTGGAAAGAAGCTTCAAGAAAGAGGGATAAAAGCAGAGCTGTGGGGTGAGAAGGGAAGAGGTAAGGGATGCAGTTCTGGGGCACTGATTTACAGCTGTAAAGTGGGTTTGGAAGGAAGGCTGAGAAGATTGGGGCATCCAGGATATCTTCAGTCTGTGGAGAAGAGCCTTTCCCAGAATGGAGGTGGGTGTTTGAGTATCTTAAAGGGAAGGGAATTGATGTGGCTGTTTTACAGATACTCCTGAATGGATGTGTTTTAATGTGGGGATAAGCTGGGGAGTTTGAGGGAGTACAACCAAGGAGCTGTACTCACACCCCATGCCTTTTAGGCAGCAAAACAATGTGAAAAGTGCAAAGTTGAGAATTCAGAACTGGGAGAAATAGTTTGGGGTTTTTTAAGAGTCCTACATCTTTCTGACAAAGTCCTCTGTGGTAGAAAAATGCTAAGCTGTTGATTTTCTTGGAATGCTTATGATCCCAATGAATTTATTGATTCAATGCCTGTATTATATGTGGGTTTTGTTCTAACTTTTTGTTACCACTCATGTTTTTTACTATACATAGCACTAAAATTTAATCTATGTGAGCTGGAACTGTCCTAGGGCTTTTTGTTGCTATAAGTCATTGGGGTTTTTTTTAGACTATTTCCATATTAATAACTACTTAGCTTTTTCTTCTGGCTTTTTTTTTTCCCATGAGGAATATCCACCCTCTCCTTGTAGAAGAGGGGGAGTGATATGTTTGTTTGTTGTTTTTTTTTATTATTGTTCTTATTTCTTAAGAAATATTTTATATATTTCTTAAGTGAGAACAGTCCTCCTAATATCTACTTTCTATTGAGTGCAGTAAATCATGAAATTATGTATTTATCACCTCTTTTTATTTTTAAAGGTATAATAGAAGGGAAAGCTATTTAGCAAATCAGGTACAAAACTAAGATCTATGTTTTAGGAGCTGCAGGGGCGTTGGAAGAAAATTGGCTCTTGTGATGAAGCATTATTCAGTCCATCATACACGTGAAGTACAGTTTTGCCCCTGAGGTGAAGAAATGGGTGCTTTTTCCTTTTCTATGTAACCTTGGAATTTGGAGGATTTTCCTTGTGTGTGTTGCTGTTCCACTTAGCAGTGCCTCTTGTACTTATATTTGGGATATATTGGCTAAGAATGGCAGGAGCAAATACGTGTCTACTTGCAGAATGAGGCAGGTAGAGGAAATAGGGTCAGGATTGTCCCCAGTGCTCCTTCCCCCACACAGCTGCTCTTCACAATGGGAGAATGGGGATTTTGCTGTTTGGTTTTGTTCTAGACCTGTTTCAATATTAATTGCTCTTGATAGGGAATTAATAAAACTCAGTGGTGTTTGAATTAGCCTGTCTGTATGCACAGGAGTAACCCAGAGGCCCTGAGCTTTGAGCATGACCTATCTAAGGTATTAGGGAGCCATCAACACTTCCATATCATCCCAGCATTGCCTGGGCTTTAAGGCTGTGTCTGTGGTTGAGGCTACCTCATGCTCCTTAGCAGTGATTTTGAGGTAGGCTAAATTAGCCATTAAATGATAAACTTGGAGACTAAGTTACCTCTGGTTATTTGAAAGAGTATATTACTACAAGTCATTAAGAAATACATCCCAAGAGGCAGGAATGGGTGCATGCTGAGTCCCCTCCTGGGCAGAGGTTCAGCAGGTATTTTCAGTATCCTGGGAGTAATGCTCAGCCTTGGATAGGCATGGAGAGCAGGAGGAAAGGAGGATGTACTGCAACAACACCTCTTCAGTATTTCCCTTCTTTCACATACAGCTTATTACCTTTAGTGTCACTGTGATGCATGAGAGTGACTGTGAGTGATGGTGATTATGTGCTGTGGGGAGGATGGAGTTTGAATTCTCCTCTTTGACTTTCCAACACTTCTTTCTGGTACAGAGTAAGATTATTTTCTTGCCTTTTCCTGTTCCTCTTCAGAGCACTCCAAGAATACTAACAGCATTCTTGTTCTGTGCTTTGCCGAGTGTGGGGCTGTGAAATCCAGCTGGCACTTGCACAGAGATTCATATGGAGAACTGTCCTGGCTTCCTCCTCTTAACCCTCTATAAGGCCAGTCATTGTATTTTTCAAGATATAAATTAATAAAATAAAATGAGAATGCCAGAATAGAATGTAGAAATCGCTGTTGAATCTGAGTGATGTGTTAAGACTGCAGCTTGAAGATAGAGGGCAAATCATGTGAAAATGTTAGTGCTGTAAGAGAGAGAACAAGGTTTGGAGAGAAGGAAAAATAATTTGAAGAATATTCTCAGCAAAAGTGCCAGAAGGAAGTTGTACATCTTTCAGAGAGACAGATTGGGCAAAGAAGCCTGGCAAAGCAAATCCTTGTAGCAAAGCTGTTAAAATGGCATTGTCTTAGAGCAGTGAAACTCTGCATTTCTCTGCATGAGTTAACCTGACCCCCAGCCATTGTTTCTTATGGGAGTGGAATAACTTGATAGGCAGCAGGAGGCAAAATTATTTCAAGACTTTTGGCATTGCTTCCTGTAACCAAAAAAGTAAACACGGACATCAGCATGTAAACAGGATGCTCAGCTGTAAGAGCAAGATGTAGCTTGTTCTACATTCAGCTTTTCTAAAAATAATTCTGCTTTAGTAAATAAGACATTCTGTATGTGTATCCTACTTCAACACATTTCAGATTGCCGTCAACAAACTGTAGGATTTTAGTAGAAGGTGTTTGCTAAATAATAAGGCAAACTGGATTTACTAAATCAGACCTTCTCTGTTTTTGTTGCTAAACTTCTGTATGGAATATGCTTTTCTGTATTTAGATAAATGCTGCTAGGGATTTACTGTTCTATTTGTGAATGTGGTTGTTCTTGCAGAGCAGTCTTATGCCTGAGATACTGGGATAACCAGGAGGTGGGTGTTCTACTTTTAGCACTGTGTTTTTTAGCTTTTTTTTTTCTTTAATATGTGTTTTGGCAAGCAAGATAATTTTTCAACCAGATTTTTTTTTTTTTTTCTTAATTTCGCTGCTGGCAAAAATGTGAGCTCTTCAGTTTCTGGATAAAACTGCTGCAGTTTCTCTTGGAAGTCATAATTTGGAAATGTAGAGCTGCAGCTCATAAAATAAACCATAGTTCCATGGTATTCCATGTTGACTGAGTAGAGGTAAGCTGTAGCTCTATGGGGGACCTGTCAGCAGCTTCTCTGTGCCTGTGAGCAAGTTACCAAGAAGAGAGAGCCAGGCTCTTACAGCTCTGTATGGTAGGAAGCTGAGAGGCAAAGGACATAAACTGAAGTCACAGAGGTTTACGTTGAATTTAAGCAAAGAACTTTCTCATCGTTATGCTAGTGTGGACTACCACAGCTAGTCAAGCAGATTCTGCCCAGAGAAGTTGTGTTGCCTCCAACTGTGGAGATTTTTCAAAATCTGGTTGGCTAAAGCTCTGGGCTGCTATGGCAGAGAGCAGTTTTGGATCATAATCTAGTTGGGGTTTTATGTCAAAATCTGATGCACCTGTATAAACTTCCTTTTGACCTAGGTAGATATGGGAGAGGGCAAAGTGAATTATAGCCCAGGAGCCTGGGGGATTTCTTCTCCTGACTTTCCAGCAAAAATGGTACTCTTAACATTAAATATGGAGTAAGAATATAGTAGGAACTGTGCAACAGGATGACTTCCTGACTCCTTAAATAACAGACCCAGATTACACAAATTACATTTGAGAATTTCCAAAATACTGTTGTCATTAGAAAGGTGAGCCAGATAACTTGGCAATGAAGGTTGGAACTAGGGCAAATAATCCACCTTTTTTCCTTATCTAGATTCTGTCATGTGCTATTCTGGTATCAGCAGTGAGTGATGGTGTTTAGAGGGTGAATTCAAAGCTTGTAAGGAAAGTTGCGAGTATAAGGGAAAGTGTTAATGGAAAAAGGGTAGTTGCCTCTGGCTTGGACTTTTCCTTTTCCTCCCTCCACACATATACATCCTGTGTTATGCTACAATTATAGAACAGCTGCTTACTGTACCTGTTTGCCTCTAGCTGCAGGTAGAGGTGTGTGGGGAGGCACAAATCAATGGGTTATGGAGAATTGTTTTTTTCCTTTTCAGAAGTGTGTGCACACATTGCAAACAGGATGCACTCAAGCTTTAAGCAGTCAGTCTCATCTCAGCTAGGCAGTGAGACCTGGAGAACAGGCTCCTTGGTATGGATTTACCTCATTTGGGATCTTGGTATAATGTGCACCTTGTCTGCATCAAGAAGTAGATACATCTGAGGAGTGGGTGATTTCCCACTTCTAGAAATATAAGTGCTGCACTTGCCCCTATAGCAGAGATTTTGCGGATTTAAACATCCAGATGGTGGTACTTGGCAAAAGTCATCTCTTACACGGTTTAATTCACGCTGCAGTTGTTCATTTTGATGCTGGAGATGACTTCAGAGTAGGAAGTGCTTCAAAATGCAAATGTTTGTCCGAGACCATTTCTATTTCAAGTCTATGAATAAAAAGAGGAGTGGGCCAAAAGGAAATAATAGCTGTTAATGGTGATCTACTGGTGTGACTACTTTAAGTGAATAGACCATTGGGAACAATGCTGATGTTTTCTGTGCAGAATATCTAGTTTTGAACAGCCAGACAGTCTGTAGAGTGGCTCTGGCCACATGCCACTTTCACCTAAAGCACCACACTCCTCACTGCTAAAGAGTGTTGTACTAGCAGTTCAAAACTGGGCACTGGAGATGTTGGGGAATACATTTAGTGCAGATAGCTTGGGGTACAAGCTGCAGGTTGAGCTGAGGGGCAGGGTCCCAAGGCAACAGGCTGTGAACTGAGGGCATGGGGACCTGTGGTTCAGCCAGGTGAGGGACAGGGACATGGCAGGAGCTGAGGATCCCTGGACTTTCCCACCCAGAGACTGTAAGGGGATAAAAGCTCAGAGGTTCCTTGGTTTCACATCCCTCCTTGGAGGCAACAGCTCGACCTGTTGTTTAGTTATTGCACCATGATTAGAGTGTTTTAAGGATCTGGAAGTCTGACTCTGCTATGGGAAACCTGGAGTCGAGCTGATGAGGAAACTTGGTCTGTGAGTGGAGGGGTGTAGGTGAGAATGGGCCTCAGCTCCAGCTCAGGTGGTGAGAGTAACTTCTGGATGGTGGGACAGGAAAGTTTTCTTAACCACAGATATCAAACACTCTGGTGCTGAATGGTTTTCTCTAGGTGCTGTAGAAAACACTTTTGTGGGTGTATTCTTCAAACAGTCCTGACTTCTGCAGAAGATGTCAAGAAATCCCCAAGAACACATGGAACAAGACTGTCCAGGAAGAGGCAAAGGCCAGAAAACCCTCTGCTTTTTCCCAGTCTATACATGTTATGCAGTACTTTCTTTAAGCTCTATATTCTAAGGATTTTGTTCCTTGGCTGGGTGAGGCTCTGAGCACAGTGTGCTCCAAGATGATGACATGGAGCCTTCAGCAGGAAAACTGGCATGTGGCTTGCAACTGAAAATGAAGGCAGATTTTTGACATTCCAATTCCAGGTTCAGGGTCCTCTGATCACTCAGCAGCTTTTAATTGAGGGAGAGTCTCCACTTTTCAGTGTAATGCCAAAGAGGAGTGCTGGATTAATTTTATTTATTATTCATTTTATGGAGTCATTTTTCCTCACAGTGTAGAAGAAAATCAAATGTGGCACTACAAAGGAAGCTGGTGATGCTGTGTGTTCTGTTAGTTAGATGGGAGAAGATGCTGGAGCCAGTATAAACTGTGTGAGTTAATGAGTATAACTACCTGTTTGCAACACTAATCCTCTGACAGGGCACTCATGCTACCCTAACAAGCAACCAAGTTGTGATGAAAATTGTAATTTGTGTCCCAAACTTTGCTAGTCAGAGTCACTGGAGCTCTGCAAGGAAGGTCAAACTGCATGAATCTTAATGTGCCATCTGAATTCCAGGTATTATTTGGAATGGAATGAAGATGTCTGAGGGTAAAGAGTGTATTGTTCTAAAACATTTAATGTGCAAAAGAAAATGGGCTGTACTCTGCCATCCTTAAAACATAAGAGGTAAAATCCATAAATATAGTATGGGCATAAATAGTGCATTTTTATGGGCAAGAACAGTACATTTCTTAGTCTGTTGCACAGTCAGCCTTTTGGCATACTAATTGCTGAAATCATAAACATCCTTAGCTTCAAGCTGCTTGCTGGAGTTATCCTGCTAAATCTTTATAGAGAAAGTTAAAAAGTAAAAAAACCAGCACAAACTATAGCTACTTCTTCCCCAATTCTCCTCTAATGACACTGCTGTTCTAATAAAGTGATTAGACTTTCTTACCCCAGCTAGGGATGCTGCTAAACCAAGTTGAAATACCCATCTTGCTGGGATTATCCTTCAGGCACTGTTTAAATGACACACCAGCAAATACATCGACTTTAACTTGACATTTGTTGTCCTTGCTGCTTTCCCCTACTAGTTCTGTAAGACACTGAATTTTTCCCTTGTTTTAGTAGTGTTTAAGAAAAAAAAAAAAATCTTTATTCTTAGAAATGGTATTTTTGTTGATGAGCCATCCATTACTTTCACTTATGAACTTTAAATTGTGTGCTGCTTTGACAGCATTTTTTCTCTTGAAAGTATCCAGCTATACCATCATATTTTAAAAAAACCCCAACAGTTCAGTGCCAAATTGTTGTCTTCCTCCATGCACTGATGCTTGGTATGAGAGTGAACCAGAGCAGTGAAAAGCTATTTATTACATGATCTTCAGGCCTGTGTTAGGCTGAAAAAAAAGTATTTCATTCTATTTAAGTTGCTACTTTAGCAGTCTGTAAGTTATGTTTTGCTTAAAAAGTAATTTAATCACTTAGTTTTAAAAGTTTTGGGCATGGCAATTAGAACTCTTGGAAAATACTAGGTACTGAAGCAGTACTGCCTCTCACATGGTCTTTCTTGGACCCCTTCTGCCCAGAATTTTAAAAAAAAGGCCAGATTTTGCTATAAACTTGGCATGTATTTCTCTGTACCAGTCTTTGCTATGGATTTGTTTACTAAAGCCCATGCACTGACAGAAGTAGTGTGAAGAGATCAAGAGGGATTCAGCCATGTGTTTTCCTGTAAATTGCAATTGCAGAAGTGTGCTTGAAATGACAATGTTTAACAACATTCTTTTTATGGTGGCCTGCATTAGGACAAGTAAATCAGGTGCAAGATTAGCCATAAAGAAAATGTAAGCCCTAGACTAACAAAACCCCCAATATATCCACTTTAATCTATATTTGGTGTTTTACTGGCTTGAGTTGCTTTTGTTATATGCAACAGAAGGGCAGCACCGACAGGTGCAGATAAAATTTTGATGAAAATCTGGTGCCCTCTTAGGTTTTCAATTATCTTTTAGTATTTGCACTATTTGACTCCCCTTATTAGAGTCTGGGTACGTGTCTGGGAAACAGTGAAGAATTACAGCCACCAAATTAGAGAACAAATTTGACTGCATGGATTTCATAGCAGCTCATGTAAATGTTTTTCCTGTAGAGTTGTAGTGTGACAGGGGATTAAAACACATCCTCTGAAGCTACCTTTGAGTCAGCAGTGAACTGCCTTCTGTCCTTGTACCTTGTGCAGTCCCTTAAGTCAGTCCTTAAGGATGTGAAACCCAGTGTTAGAATGCATTTTAACATTTTTAAGAAGGTTAGGTTGGATCACAGGACCAGATTTAAATGGAAGTTCCATGAATGCTCTCCTAAAGAGGACCTGTACGTAGCAGAACCTGCTGTGCTGTGGGTACAGCCACATGATAGAGCAGAAAATACCATGGAAACAGCAAAGAGGGTACATCCTTGGGCGTTCTGCAGGCCTTTCAGACATTTAAGTAGGAATTATGGCAGGCACAGGCCTCATGATAGCAACAGTCAGGAATGGGTGAGCTCCTGCAGGTTTGAGCAGGTGCAAGGAAACAGCACAGTGCAGTGGGATGGACCATCCCTGCTGTGGGTAGTGCTGCTCTGTGAATCAGTAAAAACTGGTGGCCTGGAATAGAAATAGGCAATGACACACCAGTCTTCACCTGGATCTATGCTGGAAATAACTCTACCATGGGCTTAGAACGTGAACCACAAGGCTGGTTTCAGTGCCTGTGCTCAGCCCTGCACTGACCACAGGATGCAGCCTGAGTTGAGTGGCAGCTTCCCACCAGATGCACCAAGGCTTGAGTCTGTCACTACTCCTAGTGTATGGTTTTGCTCTAATTACAGTTTTTAAACTATTTCAGTTTTTTACACGCTGGTCCCCTGGAGAGTTAAAACTGAACCATCCTTGATTCTGTTGATTTCTGTGGAAATCGTCACACCATTTTATCAGGTTTTGATTTAATTAGTCTGCTTCAGGGAGAGAATTAACATAGCATGTATAGCCCCTATTTAAGTGTACCCAGAATTGTATAATAGGGAAGTTTGTGCCAAACAAACAGCTGGGCTCTGTCTGGAAAAGCTTATATTCTGGTGGCACAAACAAAAATACACAATAAATACAAACACAGAACAGCATGTGGCCATTGCAGTTGGTAGTAAATGGAAAGAAATTAAATTCTTCTGTTTCTGTGATGTCTTTCTGCTAAGTGCTTCAGAATTATAATAAATTGTTAATGTTTCTTTGTGTGGACAACCTCTTGACACACTCCCCTTCTCAACAGAGCTTCTGTTCCAACACTTGGACTGTTCAGCAGATTTCTTCTTATAACTTCAATCTTCTTTCCTTGTTTTAGACTCTCTTGTGGTAATTTTGCTTCCAAGTTATAGTATCTCCCCACCACTGATGGTTCCATATGGTCACTCAATTCATACAGTTAATTTAATTAGGTTCCTCTACAGTGGAGCACTGCATGGGCATAAGCTCTAGTGTCTCTCCTGATGGATCACTGGGCAAAGCCCTCATGAGGAAATACTTTGGAATGTGGTTTTAATTATTTAGAGACTTACAAAAAGCAGTTAAAAGCTGCATTAAGAAAACAATGTTATATATTTCTTTAAAAAACAGTTGTAAAGGGGTGCCTACAAACTAGTGAAGTTAACATTTAATGTAATGAAAATTAAAAAAAAATCCACTTTCTTGCTATTTATAAGCAAGAGTAAAAACATTTGGGCTCTTACACATTATTTTCTTATTTTTCTGACAGCAAACTTGGGATGAATCCTTCCCACAACAGTGGAAGCTTTTTTTGTGTCTTGTCAGAGATAAGGTGACTGTGTGGAAAAACAATGATGATAGGGATCTGTAATTACTTGTGACTGATGAGCATATCTGACACTGTTTCCTGGTATGCACTGATAATTCTCTGAGGTAAGAGGGAAGCAGATGACTTCCTCTACTGGCAATAGATATTTTATGTTCAGGATGCTGCTTGTGGTGAGGTTTTGGGCAGGATTGCTATACCACAGCATAAAAATATTAGGAAAAACAATGCATGCTTAGGGAGCATCTGTTAAATGTTTCTGTCTTTCAGGTTGGTATAGTAGGAGTAAAGAGAAAATGAGTCCTGGGAGACAGAGAGCTCTTTCAGATGTCAGTCCTCCAATTAACTCTGTAAGGGCACACCAGAGCATCTCTGGGTAAAGGCCATCTATCTTTTTCTCTTAATGTAAATGGTGGCAATATAATTATTTTGAGTGGTGAAAGAAGATTCTCTCTTGGGAGAAATTTATCTTGATTCAAAAGTACTGATACATGCAAAATCAGAACTGGACCCTGTAGCAGCTTTATTTGAAGCTGAACATTTAAAATGTGTATGATATTTTAAAGTTTGGGAAGTTTTTGAAATGTGAACTAGTCTAAATTATGCAGAGGTCTTGGAACTCAAATAACTACAAACAAGCTTTCAAATCTACTACTAACCCTCAGAACTGCCTCTACCTGAATGGCTTAAATGAAATATTGTGCTCTGGAAGGATAAGAGGATAATATTTGGCTTAACTGCACTTTATCCAGTGTTTCTCAAAATGATCAGTTGCAGGACAATCATTAAAATCATAGGCTATATGTTACTGTCCTTGGAAGCAAATGATACATTGCAAGATTTGCAGGTCTTTGTCTTTTATCACAGTAAATCGAATGTGTCTAGGTCAACAGGGGTTCTTTTTAGATTGTTCCTTATTTTGCTAGGCCTGCTGCTTTTAAATAAAATGCTTTGAGCTAATAAAGAACAAAAATGCTGATGTTTGTGCTGGTTTAAGAATTGCTGTTTCGTTTAAGACTCCTTTCTAGCTAAGTACTGACTGTAATGCAGCTCCAGATGAAATCAACCAGTAATTAGGGGTTGTCACCTTTCTATCTTTTCCACAAACTTCAGAAGTTACGCCTTTTGTTCAAAAACAACTGGAGGTCAGGTTATGTGAAGAAACCCCGGGATGAGTTAAACGACTGAGACCCAGAAAAGCCTGGAGCACTGTAGTCTGTGGTGTTCCTCCCCCATTTGGAACAAATTACCTATCCCAGCTTCAGACCTCTGTGGGGGAGAATATAAATTGTTTTTTATTTAGTCTTAATGTTGTGTTTGCCACCCTACCTGCGCTCAGAGTATTTGCTGTAAGTGTGAGCCCTGCAGGTTGCCAAGAGGCCACTTGCAATGCTCTGCCTTTTGCTCCTGTTCCAGTTTTGCTGTGTTAGACATCCTGGATTGGAAACCTAAACAGGGCATTGAGCATGAGGTGGGGAAACCTGGAGAGGGCTGGCTGGCTGGAGAATAGTAATGCATGCATTTCATGGGAAAAAGGTGTAAGAGGATCTGAAAGTGCCAGGCTTTGGTGGGAAAAAAAAGGGTAGTTAAAAAAAAGGATATATTCTATAAGCAAGATTAAAGGAAATTAAATTGGAGGATTAAGCCTCAGCTTCTCTACTTGTTCTCATTTTCTGTTTCAATTCACAAAAACCTCCTAAAATCCACCAGTGGTTATTCTTTAAATAATGAAAAAAGCAAGAAGCATGTCTTCCCCATAATCTGTGGTTATAATCTTTATCATAGAAACTGTTTCTCTTGTGAAACGACTTTGGGTGTTGTGGAGTCCTGTTTATGAGGGATGTTGATTAGATTCACTCGCATCTCTTGAATGAGTGGCTCTGGGATTCTCTGAGTGCTGTGTCCAGCTCTGGGGCTCCCAACATAAGGATGATTTTGGACCTGCTGGAGCGAGTCCCACAAAGATGATCAGAGGCCTGATCATCATCAGAGAGCATCTCTCTTACAGGGTCAGGCAAAGCTGAAAAGGGTCAGCCTGAAAAGGGTCTAAGAGACATTAAAGCCCCTTTCCAGTACCAAGAGAGCTGCATGGACTTTGGGGAACTATGTTTTGCATCTTAAGGATACAGCTTTACTGAGTGGGAGGGGAAAGGCGGGGAGAATGCACTGCAGGAAAGCTTTGATAAGAAATAGGACTTCCATCTCATTTCAATATGATACATTTCAAAGTTAAAAGAACATGCAGTTAAGTAGGGAGTAATTTCCTTTACAGAAAAAATAATTATGCTCTAGTTTAAGCTCGGACAAAAATTAGAATTTCCTGCTTTTGCTAGTTATTCTTTGTAAGGCATGGATCAAGGAATAGAAAAACTTCAGATGGACTGCAGAACTACAGAAGTTCTTTTGCATCACTATGCACTACTTAAACAGTACTTGAACATGAATCAGATATTCTTCCAATTGTGTAAAGCATGTGGGCTTAAAAGCCATTTTTAGGGAGGTATTTCAGTGCTTATGCGACGATGAATTAATAGTTTGTCTAAGTATGTCAAATTTCTCATTGTTAAGTTATCCGAAGTATTGGGGAAGCCATGGTAGCCCTTCTAGGCTAAATTTTATCTTCTCAGTTTTTTAAGCTGTGCAACTGTACACTCCTGTTCTCTGGATCAGAGTACTTGATTGAACAGGGGTAGAAAGAGGCCCTGAGCTAACCTGCAGTCACTGTAGGAGGTGCATTGAACACTTAGGATGCCTGACACAGGAACATCAGCTCTAGTGAGTTTCCATGATCCATTTAATGTCTTCGTTCTTTGGAAGCTACTGCTATTAGCAGACTTTATAGGTAGGTAACACTCATTTTTGTTGCTTTGTAGTGTTATTTTTCCAAATTCATTATTTAAAAGGTCATTTTCCAAGGTTGCTAGGTCTGAAATGACTGTTCTTGGCAGCAGCTCCAACTGTCTCTTCATTTCATTAATTTTCTTGCTGAATCGTGGGTTTGTTCTGTAAAATACATATATCCAATTAATTTTTCAGTATAAAAGGCAGAGACTGCCCATAAAAAGGAATTTTAGACTTTCAAACTGCATTTAGCAGATGGTTTTAGAGGTATTTAATTTCTTGTTTCCTCAAGTGGGGCTTCTGTTATTTAAATGTGTGGCGCCTTTAGCCTGTGTAAAGAAGCAGGACTTGACATTCCAGACATGCCTTACCAGTCCTCTTGGTCTCAGTACCTTTCTTTATTAAATGCTTCAGGAATGGGTGATAAGGGACAGGACTGCAGATCCCTTTCAGACCTTTAAAATGACAGCTTTAATGCTCTCCTTCTCCTGCACTGGAATAAACAGTCCTGCCAACAATAGTGATCCGTGTCCTCCAGCAAGGGAGAGGACATCACCCTTCATAGCGTCAGTCCCCCAGCATGGCAACCAGATAGGATCTTATGTGGGTCACAGACTGAATTCTCTTAAAAATTAGATTTTTCTGTTAATAAATTGAATATAACCTAAAAAAGCAGCATCAAACCCAGCAAGGATTAAGGGAGCCACGAGGTGGCACTTCTGCTGCACAGAATGCCTAAAGCTCAATCACTTTGCAGGCTGGTAAAAATACAAAAAGAAGCAACCAAACCTACCCAACTTTCCCCTACAAAAGGAGAGTAAACTTATTCTTATAAACAGCCATTAAATGTCAGGACTTAAAACCATCACATGGATTCCTTTCAACCTAACAAGGAGCTGGACTTGATCATCCTTGAGTCTCTTCCAACTCAAGCTATTCTATGATTGATTCTAAGATAGACTTTCTGTAAAGCAAAAACTTAGAAACTGCCTTATCCAGTATCTCAAGTCAAGGAAGTCTCTTTAAGCGTATTATTTTCCACGTTTCTATGCCCATTTCCAAACTACCTGATATATTTTTTTGGTAAGGAAAGATGTGCACCAATACTGAAGCATTCTATGGATGTACAGTTTTCATGCACTTGTTCAGAAAAGTTAAAGGGAAGGTTTTAAGTTTGCATTTCATTATCTTGCATGTCCTTTTGTAGTCAGGTCACAATAAGTTTTTGCAAAATGTAATTGCTTTGAGGTTTTTTTTCTTCATAGTGTAAATCCATTTCAGTTTCCCTGAATGCTGGGGAATGTTTGTTGGTTTTGGTGGTTTTTTTTTACTTCTAGAGCATGTGGTCATGATTCAGTATAAATAATAAAAATCCTTGCCAGTTGTCTCAAGCTTTTCCCTTTGGTTGCAGCTCTGTAGTGTGGTAAGCAAATGCTCTCTGCCTGTGAGCTGCACTGAGGCCAATCCTTGGCAAAAATGTTGGGGGAAGGGAGGAATTCCTGCAACAGCAGCAGGAAGACAAGGGTCTGGGCAGCAAAACTAGCCTGGTTTTAGCAAAAAGTTAATGGAATTTTGTATTTAGTAATAAAGGGATCTGTCCAGGAATTCCTGACTAAGATGCAGCAGAGTCATGAGACTCCAAACAGCTTTCCTAACAAACTCCTAACAAGTTTGGAGCCCTGTGAAAGCATGTGGAGTCATGGCCAGGGCACTTTGCCTTTGGAGATGATTTCTCTGCTGCAGGGTCAGCTCACACTTTTGCCAAGCTTGGGACTATACAGAAGTAGTTCACAGCTGAAGCAAGGAAATACAAAACTGTGGTGGTGGCAAACCTGTTTTAAACTTCAGCCTCAGCCTTCCTCACCGAATGGGCATGACTGGCTTAAACTACACAGCACAAAATCCTCAGGTCTGGAGTGACTAACAAAACCACTCTAAAGAAAACCAGACTATAGCCATGGCTCGTACCTAGGGGTAGAAAAGAGAAGAATGTAGTTATGCAGAGTTATAACATGTTATTGCAGGAGAAGAAAAAATTGTGAATAAAAACTGATGAATCATGGTTTGAGTAAATGCATTTGAACACCTACAAGCCTGACAGATTTCTTTGGGCAAGAAAAAATACACCTTCAGCTGCAGCTGTTTTGCTTCTGCTTAATGTTGAAAAAAGTACTTTATTAATGAGGATTGTAGATTGGTTCACCTGCTCTTCAGTGACTACATTGCTCCGTTTTTTTCTGAAATTGTTTTCAGCGCTACAGCAAACCAGACAGGCTTTCCATTAATACTTTATTAGCAGGAGCCAGTTCTCTTATAAATGCTTGAAATTTGCTTTTCTGTATGCCTATATGTGCACCATATGCCTGGAAAACTTCTGAAAGACTTTCTTTTCTGCCTTTTCTGCAGCAGCTGATGGGCTAAGATGCCTTTATTTCAATAGTAGTTTTTATTCAGTAGGCAAAACATTTTAATTTTTTTTCTTTCATAAACGTCTTTCTGGGATATAGGTCTGGACATATTTCTCCTTCTTAAAATGAGCATTTCTATCAGTAATTCCCTTAGGGTAACAATACTAACCCCGACTTCAGATGGTGAAATTTACCAGGCTGATGCTTCTCCTGCCTTTGTTGAATGGCTGAGCCCTGTATCTTGTGTGGTAGCATTCGGGATTACAGGACAAATTGCAGATTTGGGGATAGAATTAACAGCAAAATGCTTTGAAGCAGAACTAAGTCATTAATCTGGGTCGGAGGAATTTGTTTTACTCAGGAGACAATATTGTAATGGCAGTGCATTCAAGATCAAAGTTTACCTGTTAAAAGGCTTTGTGAAAGCAGTGTAATTGCAGCAGCTCGGACAGCCACAAAACCGTGCTCTGGTGTGGCTGGACCCTTCTGGTTTTAGTCGCAGGTGCTCGGATGCCCAGCCTGGCAGAGATCCGCAGGGACAGCCGGGCTGTGGGACCCGCCTGGCCCTGGGCGCTCAGCTCCTCACACCTCCCCTCCCAGCTCCGGATTGTGTGAACTCGGACAGGCACAAACAGCTGCAGATCAGAAGTTATCCCCCCGCAAAAGATGTAAAACAAGGCTTGAACATCACCATTATCTGTGAAACAAAAGGCCGAGAGAGTTGGGGCTGTTCAGCCTGGCGATGAGGAAAGTCCAGGGGAACCTCAGAGCCCCTTCTAGTTAAAGGGGCTGAGAGCTGGAGAGGGGTTTTTGACAAGGGATGGAACATACGACGAAGGAGAATAGCTTTCGCTGGAGGGAAGGTAGACTTAGATTAGCTATATGAAGGGAACTTTTCCCTGTGCGGGCGGTGAGACCCTGGCTCAGGCCGCCCAGAGAAGCGGCGGCCGCCCATCCATGGCGGTGCTCAGTGCCGGGCTGGACAGAGCTTAGCGCACCCTGCTCTAGAGGAAGGGAAGGTGTCCCTGACCACGGCACAAGAGCTGTAACAAGATGCTCTTTCCAACGCAGCCATTCCGCACTCCCTGTCCCGCCCCGGCGGCGCTGGGGGCTCGGCGGCTCCGGCGCGGCCCCGCGGGCGCTCCCCGGGGTGGCCCCTC